CTTGAATGCATTGCCTATTTATAGGCAAGAGTGAGGGTATAATGGTCATAAATTTAGAAGGAATATATGCCTAACAACTCATCCTTCACTCATACTCCATTAATTATACCAACTCATCATTCACTCATCCTCCACCAATTACAACTCATCTCCCACTCAAATCCCATTAATTATGCCACCTAATTACATGACTTTACATATAATTCCATCCCTAAAAACTCTAAATGTAATGTAATAAAAGATGCAAATGCAGGATTGTAATTCCACCCCGTATCTTATTCTCTTTTAGCCAAGGTTGTCGCCGCTAATTATTGAGTAAGCAGTCGCAGTCATGGCTGCTGCCATATCAAAGCGAGGCACAATCCTCACACCGCCTCCCTTGCAACATGAGCAGCGCCAACAATCCTTAATTTATACCATCCCCACCAGCGGTGACCTGATCTAGTGTTTTTTCCATCCAACATATAATTTTGTTTTTTAATTTTAATGATGGATTCTAGTAATATCTTAAAAATCTAGTCCGATCTGACCAGGATAATAAGAAAGATTTTTGTTTTGAAAAAATTATAAAAAAAAATAATTTTTCAAAAAATAATTTTGCATATAAACTTAATTTTTAGTTAACACCAATAATAAGTAAAATATATAATAAATAATTTTAATTGTCTAACAATAACTCTATTAACATTGTTGGGTTCCTCAAACACACATAAGCAATAAACATGATAAATTTAATATTTTTTTTAGGAGTCATGAAATTTTTCTAGATAAATTTAGGGTTGTTAAAGATTTATACAAAAATTACTTGAAAATCAGATGTTTTTCTAGGCTTTGAATAATTATTTCAAGACTGAGTTATTGTAAACCATAAATCATCCTTATTTAGTCTATGATGTTAATTCATACGAACTACCAGTGATAATTTTTCTAGATCCTTTTTTAGAGAGGGATTGTTATGTCTCTGAATGCTAAGTATTTTTCTGTGTTTTTGGTTTTCAGGTGTTTTGTATTGTACTATCTACTACACAGAAAATAAAAGATGTGACATTTTATTTACAGGGAAACCAAAAGGCCCTATAAATAAAAAAATATATTAATTTTTTCCTGAACAATATCACATGTATTATTTCATGATTTTTATTGAAGAAAGGTAAAACCCATCAATCCCCGGAGGTTGGTATACGAAATACAAAGAAAGGCGATTCTGTTTATTGAAGAAAGTCCTTTTCGGGCTAAGGTCGCCGTAGAATCTCTGCTTTTCCGTAAGGAAAGGATACAAGAGTAGGCCAAAAAGCGTTAAGCGGAGAAGGGAGAAGCTTCGTAAAGTAAAGCGGAGCTCCTAGCTGGCCCTATCTTGCACGTTCCACTAACCGCTATCACAAACTTTAGGAGAATTCTGACTCTAACTTGACAAAGAGTCAGATCGTCTATATAGACCTCAAGCTAGAAAAGACAAGAAAGCAATACGCGCGAAAAGAGAAAGTCCGAAATCATTATGTTCTCAGGGCCGAAAGCCAAGTCAAATACAGAGATCATGCCCCTTTCTATAGCGACACCTCAAAAAGGGGTGTCGCCCTTCCACTAAGCCTTCCTACCTATATTCAAATAAGTAGAAAGGCAAGTATGGAGGGGAAAGGACAAGGAAAAGATAGATTATACCACATGGCCACTATAGGAAAAGATAGACTATGCCACATGGCCGCTACAAATAAAAGAAAAGTATTATGCGAGTGATACCAATCGGACACACTTGGAAAAAAGGAATCATCAGCTAATAATACAGCTGGATCAAAGGAAAAGAAGTGAAAAAGCAGAAAGAAGTCAATGTGATAAAGCAAAAAAGGTAACGAGGCGACCGGAGGGGAGAAAAAGAAGAAAAGGGATGGCAAGCAAGTGAATGTGATACCGCCCTTCATCTTGACACTGAATCTTGATCCTAGAAGGAGAAGGCTCCCGACTAGTTCTTGCGGAGATTCCCTGGGAATTTCTTTATTTTAAGAATACGTTCGTATTTGATTCGAATTTCTCTTAGATTCCACCCGGCCAACGTCCTCGTGAGGTGAGTGAAAGACGAGGAAATGCCGATGCCATTCAACTAGCATCTCGTATGAAGTCGAAAGTTAGTAGCGTGGCCTTCCCGTGCACGCTCATCCAATGCCGACCATATGGAGTGGTTTGGCTTAAGACTTGCTCCCCATGGTGCTTTTCTATGCCCTAGGATTTCTTTCTGCATGGTCAACAAAGGCTCGGGCTCTGATATCAATAGCAGCCAGCTAGTTAGTTGTTAGAAATCTATTTAATAAAGTCTCTACCTAATTTTTTTTAGGTATATAATTCTAATTCACTATATAAATTGCATTCTCAATTCTTAGTGTCTAAAAATTATTTACAATAAAGTCATCATTGATTAATAATTCATTCTAATTTTGACTGGTACTTCTTATGTGTATAATATATTAGGTTTTCTAATAAGTTGGTGTGAATATAAATTATAATTCCAAAAAAATATGAATAAATAAATTAATTTATTACTAACTCAATAATTTATTAATTTGTATTTGAAGATTAAGTACAATGCTTAACAATGTGTCATAATTTCATAGATACTAGAAAAGTCACGAGTAATTTAATTTTATTTTTCAGTAACCAGTTTTTTAGTGTAATCGTTGTTTCTCAATCAACAATATATTGATTTAAACATTATACCATGGAGTGCTTTTATTATATTGAATTGTGTTTATTTTTAATACCATGGTCATTGATTATTAAATAAGATTTAAAAAACAAATATTATTTCACATTACGCTAGGATTTAGAATCAATACTATTTGAAAATAAATTATTTTTTTTTCTAATTCACATGGGATAATGGATCATCAATTGATTACTTAAATATCCTACTATAATTCATGTCATGCATAATACTTATTCACTTGTTACCCTCGATAAAAACAACGTATATAAAAATCAAAACATAACTTTATAGAAAATAATTATAGAAAATAATTTAGTGATTTCAAATTTAAAGATCATTTAACATGACATTCTCTATAAAATATAATTTAGTGATTTAAAATTTAAGAATCACTCATATAACCATCACGAGTCTTTTTATCAATATGAGTGATTTCTCTATATTAAATTCTCATACATGTTAGTTCAATGTATATGTCATCTGACAAGTACTTACGTATTAATTTTAGATATCTCTTATACCTCAGGTTATGAGAAAATCTCATGATCACAATAATTTTATAATGTAACTTGTAAAATAATTTTATCCCAATTACCTTATTTAAACTCCACAAATATTAATTAAATATTATATTTACTAATCAAATATTTGATAAATATTAAAAATAAATAAAATCTTTATTAAAAATCAAATACACTTACATTAACAAAACAAAATTAATACTATACATAATTGACATTAATTCAATTGATTAACTATAATTGATTAACTATAAAACATATGCACCATGTCGCCGCATTGATATAAATTAAATCCTAGTTTACACCTAGATTTTTTAATTCAACTATAAAAAATAATTATGTGACGATAATTTTATATTGAATATCCTCGGTTTGGGTTTTCATGAAAATGAAGATTTATTCAAACTAGAAATCTTAAAAGGGATTCAAATGCATCACAATTTACAACTATTGTACCAAAATCAAACAAATTTCGGGTCCTCAATTCCTTAAAAATACATCACAGCATACTTAAACAATGATAATCAAAACCATGATTAACAGCCCTAAATCAAAGGACAAAAACCAAGTAATTATAAACATGATCACATGACAGCACAAGCTGCCGGGTTCTCATCGCTGAAAGCAGTGGTGTATCGAACCTCGGTAGAGCTAGCACGTGCGAGCTGGGACACGTGTGGGTCCTCTGCATTTCTCACGTACCCAGCAGGGGCTTTCTTGTCATAAACTCCAGGTGCATAAGGGTGGGCCACCATATCATATGGCACATATGGCCATAACTCTGCCTTCTTACCCGTCCGATGTGCCACCCGTGCAACCACCTTTGATGGGTCCACATACCCAACCACTGTCACCTTGTTCGCCTTTCTTTCCACATCCACTTGCTTGACACCTTTCATTCCCTCCAAGGCTCTCTTCACTTTGCGCTCGCATCCTTCACAATCTATGCGCACCTTGACCTCCACCGTCTGATTAAATCAATCACGTAAAACATCTTAGAATGTGAACGTGGCAATCAATAAACGGACCAGTAACAGTATCGGAGAATTTTGGTGGGCCACAGGGTTTATCATGTTTCTGCCATTTCATGATAGAAGTACCGAAATGTCCTTTCTTTTGGCAGTGACTCTACTCACTTTATGAGAGCTGTCCATGTGGACATGATGATCATCTTTTCATTTTTCAAAACTCAATGGAGTGGTTTTGTTTGGACGTGTGATAAATAATGTAATTTGAAGTATAATAATATGTTAAAATAATATTTTTTATATTAGTATATTTAAAAATATAAAAAAATTCAAAAATTAATAAAATAGAATTTAATCCACGATACCAAACAGCACTTTTAATCTTCCACCTTCTAAACACGACCACATGCCTTTTCTCTCGCATGATCAACAGAATATTTCATAAAAAAGATTCAAAAAACATTGTATTGAATCTCAAAAACTATACGAGAAACAGGGATGGCCAAGAATGTTCAAAGGTTGCACCATGAAATTATCAAGGTATTCAAAGGAAACACCAAAAGAGCCATTTGAATCACATGTTCTAGCTTTAACTACATAATTTCAAGAATTCAAGGTTACTATATCGATCTAGCACCCAGAAGAGAGCAAGAAATCTTGATCTAGTCGCAACCAAGATCTGTTTTGATGGATCTATTCTATCAGTATAATCAATAATGAAGTTCCCTTCTTTAAAAAGCCTACACACAGGGTGAGAACGAAGAGTTGTAGTAGTGCTACGTACCTGCAATTGCCTGCGTTTCTTGAGCTTGGAGCTTCCACTGGAGCAATCAAAGAAATCAGACAAGTGATCAAGAGCACCCATTTCTCCTTAACTTCTCTCGATTCGTAAGAACGACAAGGATTTGAAAGACAGAAATATCTCAAGAGGCTTCAATAAGTTAGGCAATAAATGACAGACAGACACGGGTCAGTGAAGATGAAGTCCCCCGTTTAAATAAGCAACCTCGCGAAGGGACTGTTCCTTCAGAGAAATGAATCGTTGGATCTTTCTCTTTTTTGGTGTCAGTGAGCTTGTTATTGACACGTGTTCATCTACTATTTGTTTTCTGTGGATTCTATAATGCCGTTGCTATCCTTGCACCGACCCCAGGTGGGCCCTTTTGAATTTTGGCGCGAGTTACGAGGATGGGCCCCTTTGCTATCCTTGCACCGACCCCAGGTGGGCCCCTTTGAATTTTGGCGCGAGTTAAGAGGGTGGGCCCCTTTGAATTCTGGCGCGAGTTGAGAGGATGGGCCCCACAAACAGCCCAAAAACCTGAAAGACGGTTATGGTTAGTGTGCAACTGTGCACTGTATTCCATTTTTTCAGGTAAGGGTGGGACCAGAGGTTTAATTCTGGTCCGTCCAGAGGGTGTGGGTGGGTCGAGTGAGTGATGGGTCTCTTGTAGTGATGGGTTTGGTAACGGTTTTATTTTGATCATACTTTCCGTTCCATCCCTTCAAAGCACATCAAATTAACTGATTTTATGCTTTATTAATGATATTAATACAAGCATGTCAAGATTATTCAATAATATATCAAAACTCTAAATATAATCCGTGTAAAAAATAACAAGCATTGTTCAAATTATTTAATATACTTATTAAAAATATTTTATAAAATAATTGCTATCAAATTACGAAAGACCCTCCTCTGACTAGTAAATGACTAATTTAGTATGGGTGTTCGTGGTTTTAGTTTATTCCACAGAGGACACGGTATTGTTATAGGCGGAGCCTTCGTGACTAATTAATGTCTGTTCCATGACAAAAGTTGTCACCTCCCTTAGTTAATGCATCTCGTGTTCGGTCCGGACCAGATCTGTTTATGGAATATAACGAACCTTATTCAATGAGCTATGATTGAAATTTGACTAGAGATTATTGTATCATGTAGCATGTTAGGAGATTCATTATTAATTCAAGCTAATCAACTAAAAAAAAAAAACTAAAAGTACTTATTGAATTATTGGAGCATGTACGAGATTTATTATGGAATTAAACAATGATTTTGCTTGTCATTCCTCTTGATATTAGTCTTGAGACTAAAAGTAAAATGATATTTTTATAGAATTTAAATGTAATTTGAGAATTAATTAGGATAAGTTGCTATTCAACTTTACAATGCATAATAAAAATAATTTTTTATTCTTCAAGACTAAAAAAACCCCTATCAAGGGTTTTGTTTATTGTTTTATTTTAATTTACACATTAAAATAATATTTATATCCTTGGATGCTGAGAAAAAAAAATCTTGCAAATTTTTTTTTATTATTTTTATATTTTTTTGTACAATAAAATTATGTTGTTAACTTTGACTTTCAAAATTTAAAGGATGATTTTTTTAGGGTGTTTTCATTTTTGCATTATGATTGTTTTGTAATAATGATATATCCTTGGGTCTTTTTTTTTATGATTGTTTTGTAATAATGATATATCCTTGGATCTTTTTTTTTTTATTTACTTTTTAAAAATATTAATAAACCAATAAATTATGTTGACATGTATCGTGTGTGTGTCAGCACGTCAAAGTCCTTCGTGTTTTTTAAAAGACGCGTGTGGACAACTACGGTGGCAAAAAAAAACAAATTACCATCTCATTCGATGCACAAGGGTGTGGCATAGTTGTTGGGGTAGCACGATGTTTTAGAAAAACAACGGTCTAACAATAATAAAATTCTGGGTTTGATCCTTTTTTTATTTACTTTGATTTTAATGCTTTTTAAAGTTTATTTTTTTCAATTTCATTTCTTTTCACATTTAATTTAATTTTTTTTATTACAATTTGATCTTTGTTTTTTTATTAATGTTTTTTCATCCTTCACATTTATTTTATTTTATTTATTATTTTAATTCTTTTTTTTTCAAATTTTGGTTTCTTTCATTACTCTTTTTTCTATCATTTACTTTGTTTTCAATTTAATTCCTAATTAGTTTCTTTCAATTAATTTTGGTGTAAGATAAGGACCTTAGTGTTTTTTTTTATTTTCTTATAATTAAGGATTTTGCTTTGTGATTATTTATTTCTTTTACAGGTTTTTCTATTCTCATGACCTGATTTATCTATTTTTATGATTTACCTAGTTTGGGTTTGATATTTGTTTTTAAATCCTTTTTAGTATGATTTACCTAGTTTGGGTTTGATATTTTTTTTTAAATCCTTTTTAGAATTTATTTTTTTTTATCACCTGACATTTATTTATAGGGCTATGAGCTTTATGATTTGTTAAATTTTTTATTTTTTAGAGTTATCCATATCTCATATCTTGGATCACAAGTTAATTAGGTTAAGCTTTTTAGTTTAGTATAGGTCTAGAATTTAACGGTCTACAGGTTTAAGAGTTATCCATATTCTATGTTTTTTTCCATTCTTTTCCATTGTTTTATTTTTTTATTCACTTTTCATGAGATTTTTGCGGTCAATTTTAAAATAACATGGGTGATATTGCTTTTAGTGTTTTTTTGCTTTGTTAAATTTAGATTTTCTAAATGATATTTTTTAAAATTAAATTAATTAATTTTATCATCCAATCTTTATTTTTTTTAGGTTTTGAGCTCCTAGGTTGAGTCTGGATCAAGAATTTAATGGATTGTGAGTTTTAGAATTCAACTCGGATTTATAAAGTTTGTATCGTTTTAATATTTTTTTCTCCAATGAAAAATATGGTTGGTCCTGTTTTATTTTTTATTAAATTAAATTTATTGATTACATTTCTGGCATTTAATTTGAAGCAATACTTGAAAGAATTTTATTTTTTAAAATTAGTATTCTTTGCTTATTTATCTTTGTTTTCTATTAAGTTATCTCGGTATCATGTCTCGAGTTATGGATTTAGTAGATTCACTGGATTTGATTTGACCATTTTTTCATTGTTTTTTAATATTTTTAAATCCTAACTCAATAATCATAATCTTGGATTTTTTTTAATATGTATTATCTCAATATTTTTTGTGATTAAAAAAATAACAGGTCCATAGTATTGCATGAGTCACCCATCAAATAATGATCGTTTGCTTGGTTTTGTTATCAGTCCATAGTATTGCATGAGTCACCCATCAATATTTTTTGTGATCGTTTGCTTGGTTTTGTTATCGAATTTTAACAACCTTATTTAATTTTACTTTATTGATGCTTTATCTTTTTATTGATTTTTTTCTTATTCATTCATCTATATTTTTATTATAAGAGATTGACTATTATTATTTTTTTAATTATTTTTTTTATGACATCAAGTGGTGAATTTTTTTGTATTCTTAAAAATTCAATAATAATACTTGGACATCATTTTTTTACGCTATAAAAAAAATCAACCCTACTTGCAACAAAACACGAGCTATGTATCTGGTTTACTCGTGCTACTTGAATAGATAATTGAAGATCATCAAACCCCCCGAATTTATTAGCAGTGCATTGTCAACTGCTGGACAGCATTGCAGCAGCAAGTGGATGCCCATTTGGGCTCGAAGTTCCAACAATCAGCACAAGGTAGCCTGTGTCTCCCGTTGCAAACTTCAATGCAAGGGATCCTGTGTGAAAGGACTTTCATCACCGTCTTAAAAATACTTCAATTACGATTAACCAGTCAATCAAACAATGCTTTTAGTACTTCTTTCGGCCATGGATGGCAAACCAGCATGCAAGTTTTCCACTTCTTCCACACACCGACGCTGACAAGTGATAGAAGTTTTAATATTCTTCAAACATATGAAAGTTTCCAGCTCAAAGCCAGGAAAGCACGTCGTTGTATCCAAATCAACGTGTGATCTTTTTTTAATCATCGAGACTGACCAAGGCTAGGCTATGATTCGTCTGTTCGACTTTTTCTAGGTTTCGAATCTCTAACCCCTAGTCGGCTTTTGTTGTCAAGACGGAGAGTATCTAGGTTCATTTAAAAAAATATAATATCATTGAGATCCAAACTTGTATTTGCATCCTCTCGTGTCTCCATTGCATGGCCAGTAGCCGAGGCTTTTAATATACACTCACCACAAAAGTCCGAATCGATGAAACAAATACTAGAAGTCGGAGTCGGAGTACACATATTAGATATCATCGAGTTTGTTAAGAGAGAAAACATGACGTCAAAGGACATATAAGCTGAGGAAAGGATATTCCTTCTTGTAGAATAAAAGATTCCTGAATTCATGATGGAAAAAATAAGGTGAGAAAAAGAAACCGATCAGAGAAGGCAAATGGGCCTCGATTGAAGACTCGAAATTATAGCCCTATGAGGGGGGCGACTTGGACTTGTCAGAAGCAACCCATGCTGTTATTAGCTTCTTATGCCCAATAATGGGTGGTTTAATTGGAGTGCTAGCAGACTACTAGGCTAAATCAAGACCAGGAATGCTGGTTGAAAGCCCAAGCCCAGTCTTTTTCCTTGTAGTTCTGAGGACCTCATGGAAGCTGCCTTCTCCTCACTGTTCAAGCACCCCTTTCGCCACTAGGCCACAAATACATCAATGTGGACAGAGACATGACAGGCCCCGAAGGATCTTAACAATTTCCTTCTCATCCTATCTTTTTTTAATTTCAACTTTGAACTTTGAATATTCTGTGACATGCGTAAAGCCCCACGACCACACTGTTCATAGTCTAAGATGGATGACGAAATACGATACGTTATTTATGAAAAAGTTCGAGACATACCTGTCCAAAAGTAGACAGACCCGTTACGACCTCGCACACACATACCGAGCATGATAAAATCTAGAAAAATAAGAGTGGTCAAAACTCAAAACTGTCTTGTTATTAAAAAGTGATAGCCGGGCCATGTTGATCAAGGAAGCGATAAGCAGCTTCGAGGAAGCAAGAACAAGTCAAATTTGGTTTGGCAAAGCAGATTTTGCTTTAAAGAAAAGCTACAATGATGGATACATGTACTGTCGATAACAAGAAATTTAGGGGTCAAAGTCGCACGAGAAGCACTGAGGCCTTCTCTTTTT